AAACAAAAGGATCCTAACTAAATTAACATCTCCGTTAATGATAATGTCTCCCATCTCATGCATGAAGCTGGTGCTGAACTGGACAGCTCCTTCAGTGACAGACTGCTGCCCCCTAAATGCACCAGGGAGCGTTATCACAGATCCTTCCTCCCAGCAGCTGGAAGACTCTAGAACCACCTCTGTTCCCAACAACCTCAATAAGTTCTTACAATCATGCAGATTTTTGCAAATTTTCTGTCTTAGTTAAATAACCTGCTGCTGTCATTCTGCACATCTCTGATGTTGCTGCTATTTTCAAATATCCATTACTGTAAAAATGTCCATAGCTGGATATTGATTACTTACTCTCCAGATACAGACAATGTATATTGTAAAAACACTGTACAGTACTTATTTGTTTGTTTAACTCTGTTACTTATTCTGTTATTTCTATACACTGTCTAACGTCAACATTTTGTGACTGCTGCTGCTATAACCTTTTGCTGCTGTAACACCACAATTTCCCCTTTGTAGGACAATACAGGGATTTTTTTCTTTTCTATTTTATACAGTAAATATCAGACTAGGCATACATCTCACTATAACTACACATTTGATGCTAATCCTGAATGGGCTAATGATTGGGAAACTAGCTCTTCAACTAAAGAGAAGACCCCCAGCACCTACAGGGGGGTCCATAAGGTCCATACAAGCTGCAGAAAGGAGGGCTTTAGGTGCAACCACCATACTACTAGCTGAATGACTCCAAGTGCTACAATAACAAAATTACCAAACAGTTGTGATGTTAGGAGATGAGCCGAGGCTTCGAGGAGTGTGTCGAGTACAGGAGGGAGCGTTTCTGCGAGGCGCGTATCAACGCTTGCTTCATTTGGGGGAGGAGCCAGAATAGATGACGTCCGAAGCCTCGCTACCCCACCATACCACTTGGCCGCTTTGGGAAGTGGTTTAACTCGCCCGGAACTTAGGCAGGCATTTAAACAGCCTCAGTATTCAGTCAAATCTGGGAGTTGGATAAAGTCTGGATAGATTCGAAGAATAGATTGGTTGTTTTTCTTATCTATCTAGTTGCTTAAAACTAGATCAAAATCTGAGCAAGCCACTGATTACAGATGTAGTGAATTTTATCTAGTATTGCTTTCGTATGCGTTATCACGCTAGTGGCGTGATAGAGATAGACTTCCACCCTTGAGGTTGATGGTTCAAGACCCACTTCAGACTTTTGAAAGTTGCGATAAAACTTTTCTTTTGGCTAATGTGACTAATTTGTATTGGTTTGCCCAAACACTGTCAAAGTTAGATTGGTTGGATTGACCAAAAGATTGGTGGAACACATAACATCCAACCTGATTAAACCCAAAAACTCTGGAAAAACTATTATGTTTGAATAAAATGCCTAGCCTAGTAAACTAGCCCCACCCGCCAGCGGCCAAAATCATTTTTGGCTGCGAGTGGTCTACCTCCGATCAATGTCCCAGGCCCTAGAACTGGCGAGCCGATCACAACGCAGAGATGCGTTTTGAATTTCAGGATGCAAAGTAGGCAGGGTTTTGAGGGTGTGACGGCAAAGCTGGAGAAAGAACAACTAGGAAGATGGCAACAACTATTGAACAGTTCTGGTTTGACTCAGCTTTGGAATCAGTTTTGGAAGGATTAGACTTAGGGTTTTCGTAGAAACGTGAGCAGGAAGAGGCTCTACGCTCATTCATTTTTAAGAAGGACGTATTCGCCGTTTTACTGACAGGCTTATTTACACTCCCCCACCAGCTTCCTGTCGCACTTTCTACGTCACAGTAATTTGCGCTCATTGGTCAGAGCGTTGGCCAATAGGCACAGACATGGTTTGAAAGACAACAGGTTGTTCCCATCAACAATCTTCTGATGTCTCATTCATCGGAGCCAGACTAAATTACACATTTAATCTGGTCTATCAGGCTCTAAAATGACTGACACCTGCCATTTTGTTTATTGATGCCCAATATGCACTTTCACTGTCTGCTTGAGCTTATTCCACTAAAACGGCAGAAAAAAAGTGATTTTTCTCTTCTAGGACATTTTGCACATAAAAAACTCACAAAAGAATGTATTATACAGTCCAACCATTAACAATTTCAAATTAATTTAAATGGGCAAAAAATTAATTAGATTACTAACTGTAGTTCTGCAGTCCACCAGCAGGTGGTGACAGTGAGGCTTCATCTCAGCATCACTACAGAACAGCTAATCTAAAATTAGTTTCTTTATCAGCGGAAACAGTTTGCCACATTAATAAAACATAAGAACCCTGTATTTCAGGGGGGTTAAAGTTATTAAAGATCAAATAAAAATAAATGTGTCGACATGCTGCATCATTAGTTTTATGCCACTTGTTGATAAAACGGTGCTAAAATAAAATGCCTCCATATGTCAGAGCCACCAGTGAAGGAGGTTCTGTTAGCTCTGGTTCAGGCAGCAGGAAGCAGTTTGTTTCTAAATAGGGCTAAAGCGAACAGAAACACAGTGGAAAGTCTCCATGAAGACCAGCCAGAGTGTTAGAAGAAGCGCTAGCCTGGCTGGCTGGAGCTAAACTGTTCATGTTCACCAACTGCTGCCAGCGGAATAAAAGTCCTCACTGAAACCGACTAGAAGAACAAGAAGTCTTCTACAAACCTGTTCCGACAGAAGTTTCAGCTCCGCTAACTTCATGGACACGCAGTTTGTTGATATTATCCACGACAAGTTCTACAAAACATTTCAAACTGACGCTGTTCGGCAGCTTTATAGCTCACCTTATCCCGGAAGTCGGTCACTGTGAACGCTGAAGTTTAGACTTCCCCTGTGGATTTTCAAAATAAAACTTTTCCGTTGTAAAATAAGGTAAAAATATAATAAAACTCTACTGAGGTCCCGCTGGATAAAGCTGTTGCTTGAAAAACTGGGAAAAAAGTTAGGCTCTGTTGGAATTTATGGGCATATTTGTGTTTTATGGGGTAAAGAGAAAAT